ATAAACCATAAATGTTTTTCCTTCCAACCACCACAGGTACAATTTAATATATTTCAAAATCCACAAAAAATTATTAAGCTAACTCATGTTGTGGTACAGTGAAACTCATCTCCAACAAAATCATGTTTGCAGTCAGAAATTTTTCACAACAGGGGGTTTTTCACTGTAGCAAATTTTATCTCAGATGTAAACACACACATACACACAAATAACGTATTTGTGTACTCTTTATTTTTATTCCAATACTGTACATAGTGCATAAATATGAGCAGACACTTATTTGATATTGTTTCACATTAACATACATTTTTTTACATTAATCACTCTACTTTTTCTGTTGGTTTGAAAAAAATCATTTATACTCTATTATAAAAAAGGAAGTTTCAATATCTATAATTTGATTTCAAAGTTTACTTCTATAAAATGCACCTGAAGCATAACAGTACTATAATGAATAATATGTCTACTGTATACAGTACTGTAACACCTTATGAATGTGTAAGTAATAAATTTAACGATACAAAACTAAGAAAAAAAAACACTCAAAAATCAGTTACATTTTTTTGGTTATGTTGTAAAGCAACATTCGAATTTTCTATCCATTCGTGAAAAAATAATTGATAGAAAATAAAAGTATTCATTTGTGAATTTTTAGCTGATTTAAATTGGATTTTAAATCAATGATTTTTGAAAACAATCCTAATCCCAAAGACACTTCATACTGTACAGTACTGTACTGTATAGCCAATATACAGTTGTGCACAAAGAGAAAAGAAGGGAAAGAAATTGCAAAATTTACGATCAGCATTCACTTTCACTGACATCAATTTCTTGGATAATGTATTTTGTTTTGCTTCCTCCGTCTTTCATTTTGATCACTTTTCCCCTCTCTTCCAGCATCAGAGCTCTTCTTGTCTTAGCTGCTTGACATCCAAAGGTCCGTTTTGTAGCCATTTTAGCAATGCAACGTTCATGCTGCGTCTGAATTGAACAATAACAAATATTTCCTGGACCCGGTGGCTTTTCTTTTCACCATCTCACTGTCTCTAACTCGACCTCCCCTCGATCGCTACCCAAGACAGCGTTGCTCAGCTGATGTCATGCAATGAACTTTTAAAGCCAGCCACGGAATGCTTCGGAGTCCTCGATGGCCATAGTGAGCGTGATGGAACTCGCCTTCTCTCTAATTAGCGCTCCAGTTAGCGTAAGGTTTTTTGCATGATAACAAGTAAAGCACTCCAGGAAACGTTCGTTTATTTGACTGTCCGTCGAGCCATAAGCAATTTACTCTGAGCAGCTAATCGGATGCATTCCACTCTTTCTTCCACGGATCTAGCTGCAGTATCTACACACTTGGATAGTGAGGTCCCTCTTGGCCAATCGGAGGCCAGGATGATGTGCGATAGGCCAATGGCAGAGCAGCTATGAGTATGTTGCGTTCAGGAAACTCAGAGCTGTGAACGACATAAAAATCCTTCACTATGTAAACCACTGTGGTGGTTGCTGTTGCCGTTTCCGAACGAAGCAGTAGAGGTCGCTGTTGGATTAGACTTTGTTGTAGTGAATCTCTTCGCGAGGCAAGAGCAGAGAAAAAGATTTCATATAACGCAACAGGGTTTTTTTTTTCGTTGTATGGGGGGCAGGAGAATGGGAATGGTGTTCATGCATGAAGATTTTTTCACACTAGGGGGTATTTTCGCCCATGTCGGTTTCGTTGTAGAGGAGTTTCACTATATAATATACTGTAAATACGTTTATAAAATTTAAAGAAAACAAAAGTTTAAGTCGGAGCATCTGTTTTGGGAATGAATTTTTTGTTTGTTTGCGGGAACAGAGGTCAGGGATGGCAAGCCATTCGCGCCCCATTCACACAGGATGTGATGACATCACCCGAAGTCATGATTGCTTATGCAAAGAGAATGCACTGATCCAGTTGATCAGACTCTGCTCTTGAGATTGCTTCTTTTGAATTCTTTCAAAACCTCACTACTTGCTGTTTGACTTTTGGGTTGGTTCATTTTTAGTCAGGGGTCACCATAAGTTACTTGCATGATTTGTTTGGAACGTTTTTCACGCCGGATGCACCTCCTGACACAACCCAACTACAAGAATGGCTAGTAATTGCCATACCTTAGTTATATTTTCATACTTTCATCTTAGATGATAAATCAAGGATGATGAATCCATAATCTGACCAAGTGCCTGAGTCATTATTTGACAAAACATCTCTTCTAATTTAGAGAACGTGTTACCCCCAGTATGTGAAGGCGAGAGGTTTTGGATTCTCTTTCATTCTGGATCATCTTTTCATTCTGGATTTGCCCCTGAGTGTTGTAACCTTGCTTTTGCAGATGGTAAGGTTCTGTTGGCTTTATCAAGCCGCGATCTCCAACTCTTCCTGGAGTGGTTCCCAGCAGAGTATGAAGCTGCTGTGGTGAGAATCATTATCTGCAAATCTGAGACCATGGTTTTGTGTTGCAAAAGGGTAGAGTGCCCTCTTCAGGTCAGGGATGAGGAAGAGTTCAAGTGTCTTATTCATCAGTAAAGGAAGAATGGAGTGGGAAATGGACAGGTGGAAGGGTGCAGTGTCAGTAATGATGCAGACGCTATTATTCTGTCGTGATAAAGAAGGTGCTGAGCCAAAAGGCAAAGTACTCAATTTACCAATTGATCTGTCCCCACCCTCATCAATGCTAGTGAGTTGCTGGTCCTGACTGAAAGAACAACATCACAAACAAGTGGCCATCACAGGGTTTCCAGGCTCTCCCTTAGAGATATGAAGAGAAGCTTGGACTCAAACTACAGCAATTGCTCCTCTGCATCTAGAGGAGCCAGATGAGATGGCTTGTCGAGTTAGGAGGATTCCTCATGGTCGCCTCCCTGGTACAGTCCCAGGGAGGACCAAGGACACACCGCCGCCTCCTGGAAGAACTGGATAAAGTGGCTGGGCTTCCCTGATAAAGCTGCTTCCCCTGCCACCCCTCAACTGAATAAATGGAAGAAATGGATGGATGAATGGATGGATGGAAACTTAAGCGACACCTTGTATAATAAAACAAAAATAATAATACGGTAGCTCAGTCAAGTATAGGATCCCAGAAAGGCAGTTTGGAAGGCTTTATCATGCAGAATGAAGGATAAACATAAAAGGAACATCGTGCTTGGATAATGTCTCCATTGTCACCTCTTCTTACCAGTTTGACTTTGTGTGTCCTCAGTTCGGTGCGATGAGCTCGAGAATTGCAAGCTTGGTGTGCCTACACCAGAATGCATTTTGTCAAATGATGGACTAGCTGGCGAGAAGGACAGATTGTCTGAAATGGTACTACTCTGAGAGTGGAAATCTGTAAAATTCAAATGGAAAAGACATTTAGACTTCTCCACTGCTTCCAAGCAAAACAATTGTAAAAATTGTTGTAAAAACAATTATTATCATTCCCTTCAATCATCCCTTCTTGACATGTTTTACGTTGAAAAGGCTTGATAATTAAACTCTTAAATCAAGGAACGGTTTGTTCTTGCCTTCATGTCAGTGCCTTGAAGTCATAGATTTTATAGCCACATTTACTGTCTGGTTAGCCAAGTCTGGTCGAAACACAAGTTATGCACTAATTGAGTCCAAACTAGAAGATGCATGATGTGTTTTTACCTATACTGACAGGCGTTGGATCACTTGGAGTGTCTGCATCGAAGCACAGCTCTGGATTATTTTCTGTGGATCCATCCCCATCAGACACAAAAAAGATTTGATCCAACTCATCAGTGGTATCTGAGAGAGCATGACAGCTGCAGGGAGTGTTGGAGCGATGAAGTGGGTGATTATGGATGGGCTGGTTTAGTTGGGCATGAAGAGATTCAATGACCTTGTCTCTCAGCTGCAGCTCCTTACTCAGCCTGGTGACACATCCCCATAGTTAAAATGTGAATGAGTTGTCATTCTTTATAAACATCAGAAATCTTTTTTGGAAAAATAGTGACAGACTCTCCCTCATTTCAAGAAGCTGCTCAAGGGAAAACAAAAAATCTTTGAAAAATCTCACTTGAAAGGACATGTTGCTTGATAAAAATCAGTAAGAGAAAGATGTGGCAAAATCGCTCAAAAACTGAGCAACGCTACTCAATTCTTACATTTTCAGCAGGCTTTCTACAGTACAGTAAAATTTATTTATGTGATTATGTCACTATACTATGAAGGAATATATGAGTACCACATCATTATGTCACATGTCATGAGGTAGAGAGTAAAAAGTGAAAGTTTACTTCTATTAAATTACTCAAGAAACTTTTTAATGAATTGTAATTGATTGTCGGAGTAGTTTAAATGCAGCATACTTTTTACTTTCAAATATTATTTTTTTATGAAGAAATGCCACTTTTACATTGAGTTAAACTATGCTTTCATCATGCTCCTGTTTTGTTTTGTTTTCAGTTTCCAGCGGGATCGGACGGCATTCCTTCCAGTGCCGCACCTGTCATGCATTGTAATGATCTGGCTTTAAAAGGACTGCAACTCATATTACCCGCTGTCGGATTATTCAACCTTACTGACCATATGTACCAAGGTTTTCATTTTCGAGACCTTGAAGACCATGTTTCATAGTTCTCTCTTTGACATGCTCATTTCGCTTGTGTAAGTAGTTAATTATTTGTGTTGTTATTCTCGTTCATTTTGTTTCAACAGAATCGGATTTCCTTGTCTTTTTGTGACACACGATTTTGTATTATTGATTGTCCTTGCCAGTCGCAAGCACTATTTGTTTTTTTAGTTTTAGCTCTTTGTTACCAGCGACCTTCGTTGTACTTTGTCGGTATTGCATTTTTCAACAATAAACTTTTGTTATGTATTATCCTTGTCGACATTTGTGGAATCCTTTTCTTTCCGGATAAAACTGGAAACTGACAGCTCTCTGCTTGTTTTTTATCTGTAGGTATTTGTTATTTGTGTATTATTTTTATTTTCCATCCATCCATTCATTCATCTATCCATCCATCCATCCATCAGCAGGTGGCGGGCACCTTTAACCGGTCAGCAGCCACTTGCAGGGCACACATAGATGAACAACCATCTGCGCTGACACACCTAGGGACAATTTAGAGTGTTCCATTAACTTTCCATGCATGTTTTTGGAATGTGGGAGGAAACCGGAGTACCCAGAGAAAACCCACACAGGCACGGGGAGAACATGCAAACTCCACACAGGGAGGCCGGAGCTGGAATCAAACCCTGGACCTCTGCACTGTAAGGTTGACGCGCTAATCAGTCGACCACCGGGCCGCCCATTATTATTATTATTATTATAAATATTATTGTTATTATCAGGCGGCCCGGTACTCCAGTGGTTTGCACAGTGCAGATGTCGTGTGTTCGATCCCGGCTCCGGCCTTCCTGTATGGGGTTTGCCTGTTCTCCCCAGGCCTACGTGGGTTTTCTCGGGGTACTCCAGTTTCCTCCCACATTCCAAAAACATGCATGGCAGGTTAATGGAACACTTGAAATTGTCCCGAGGTGTGAGTGTGAGCATGGGTGGTTGTTCGTCTCTGTGTGCCCTGCGATTGGCTGGCAACCGGTTCAGGGTGTCCCTCGCCTACTACCCGAAGACAGCTGGGATAGGCTCCAGCACCCCCCGCGACCCTTGTGAGGATAAAGCAAATGGGAAAATGAATGAATGAATGAATATTATTATTATTATTGCTTGTTTGATCTACTTCATTGGTCTGAGAGCCTTGTGTTACATCACTGTTTTCAGCAATCCAATGTTACTGGCAAGCTTATTATAATTCACAAAATCAAATGAAATAACAATGTTACCCAACTATATATGCCTTTAGAACTAACTAACCCTCGCGGTTGCTGTAATCTCGATTTATGCCTTGCCGGAATAAAAAAAAAAAATGGATGCACTGTAACTTTTTGCTTGGTAGACCTGGAAAAAGAAGTGATGTTGACATTGGCCACTAGTACAGTGAAACTCCTCTAGAACGAAACCTACATGGGCGAAAATACCCCCTTATGTGAAAAAATCTTCATGCATTAACACAATTCCCATTCTCCTGCCCCCAATACGACGAAAAACCCCCTGTTGCGTTATACGAAATCATTTTCTCTGCTCCAGCCTCGCAAAGACATTCACTACAACGAAGTTTTATCCAACAGCGACCTCTACCGGTTCGTTCGGAAACGGCAACAGCAAACACCACACTGGTTTACATAGTGAACAATGTTTATTTCGGTCACAGCTGCGAGTTTCCTGGACTCAACAAACTCATAGCTGCTCTGCCATTGCCAAGAGGGACCTAACTGGAGCGCTTCTCTCTCATTAGCGCTCCAGTTAGCGTAATGTTTTTAGCCTTCGAGAGCTAACTAGGCCGTCGAAGACTATGAAGCGTCCCGCGGCTCGACGGACATTCAAATAAACGATCGTTTCCTCGAATGCTTTACTTGTTATCATGCTAAAAACAGCCACGGGACGCTTCGTAGTCCTAGACGGCCTAGTTAGCTCTCGAAGGCTAAAAACATTACGCTAATTAGCGCTCCAGTTAGCGTAACGTTTTTAGCCTTCGAAAGCTAACTGTGGCCATTTAGAACTACGAGGTGTGGTTGGTTTAAAAGTTCATTGCATGAACATCAGCTGAGCAACGCTGTCTTGGGTTAGGGTTAGGTAGAGACAGTGAGATGGTGGAAAGAAAAGCCACCGGGTCCAGAAGTATTTGTTATTGTTAGATTCAGACGAGCGTGGACGTTATAATGCTAAAATGGCTACAAAAGGACCTTTGGATGTCAAGCAGCTAAGACAAGAAGAGCTCTGATGCTGGAAGAGAGGTTAAAAGTGATCAAAATGAAAGACGGAGCAAGCAAAATAAATGACATGATCCAAGAAATTGATGTAAGTGAAAGTGAATGCTGATTGTAAATTTCGCAATTTCTTTACCTTTTTTTCTTTCTACACTGACAATATGAAGTGTCAAATAAGTGTATGCTCATACTTATGCACTATTGGAATAAAAATAGAGTACACATACGTTTGTGTGCGTGTACACATATGTTTGTGTGGGTGGGTGTGTGTGTGCTTACATCTGAGACCAAATTTGCTACAGTGAAAAACCCCCTGTTGTGAAAAATTTCTTGCCGCAAACACGATTTCGTTGTAGGGGAGTTTCACTGTATTAAGTAAGTTAAATTAAGTATACAGCCAATAGAAAATGTAGCAAGATTCCTGACGAGGACAAGAAAGTTTGATCAGATTACCCCGATACTGGCTCATGTACATTGGCACACTGTCCTCTTGAGATGAGATTTAAAGGTTTTGTTACTTACTTATAAAATATTACACAGCTTAGCAACAGGGGTGGGCAAACTCTTTGGCTCGGGGGGCACGTGGATTTCTAAAATTTGACAGGTGGGCTGGGTCAGCACAAGATACGGTACATATAAAAAACTGCATTGGTTGACAGTCCATACCAAACATCAACAGAACAAAAGCATTAAAGTGTGAACATACTTTTTTTTTTTAAATGAAAACAGTGAAACAATTATTGTATATGTCCTACATGAACGTCCAAGTATGTTAACAACATACATGTGTGACAACACAAGCAACAAGTGCAACAATATATAGCCCAAAAACTGTAGCAGACAGTACAGATATATAAAAAAATATACAAAATATTACAAAGTTAGGACTGCTACAAAATGAGACGAGTAAGAGACCTGGTGGCTTTTCTTTCCTCTCACTCACTGTCTCTAACTTTACCTCATCTCGATCACCACACATGACAGCATTGCTCAGCTGATATCGCGCACCGAACTTTTGAAGCTAGCCTCGGGACGCTTCGAATTCTTCGATGCTCATAGTTAGCGCTGTGGAACTCGCCTCCTCTCTTATTAGCGGTCCAGTTTGCGGAAAGTTTTTAACTTGATAACAGTCAAACCATTCCAAGAAATGTTCATTTACTCGAGCCACAAGCAATTCACTCTGAGCATGGAAATTGCCAGAATCGGACTGAGTCAGAATCGCTTCCTTGTTTTTCAAAGTCTTGTAGATTTGAGTCTTTCCGACTCCAAGCGTCTCCTGAATGTTTCGTACTTTGTTACCCGCTTCGTTTAATCAGATACATATCACTTTCCCTTCCATGGTCATTACTCTCTCCCTCTTTCTTCGTCTCCCCCTCCCTCCCTGTGCTCTGCAACTTGAAGTAACTGCGCCACCTGGTGTTGAAATGCCTGTCATTACAAGTCCAAACGAAGTGAATGCACAATCGAACCTTAATTGTGTACCAATCTTCAGCGGGCCGGATTAAAAAGACTAACGGGCCAGAAACCAGAGGTGCTAAACTTTAGCACCTCTGGTTTAGCACCTCCCTTTCTTGCCCACTTTGTGGACCCGTATGGTCCATCCTGAAACCTTCGTTCATAACACAGTGGCTTCTTGGTGATTCTGAGAGCCAAAAAAGTCTACAGGCTCTTGAGCATTCTCTATTCAAGCTCCAGTACTTCCGACCTTTCCTACTAATTCCCTACTTGCAGAAATTAGAGCTGTTACCGCAGTACAGATGTTTAAATCTTGATTTAAGGGTCATTTTTATACTCTTGTGTTTAGTTAAATGACACGCAGGCTTGTTTTACTACCACTTCTCCTCGTGCATCCCTCCGGGGACGAGCCCCCTTTCCTGATTGGAGAGGGGGCTCGGTGACGATGACTGAATCTTATGCTGTAGCAGAATCCATCATACTCGGCATCAATTGCAGATTGGTCATTATGGGTGATTCCCTCCATCTGTGGTCTCTTTTCAATTGTTGTTGGGGGGGGGGGGGCAAAGGGCATTTTGACATTTTCCTTGCCTGATTAGGGAAGATTTAGATTAGGGAATGTCACTAATTGTGTACTGTATTTAAATATACTGTGGGATTCTGAGGCCATTTGAGGCTACTTGACTACACTACTACTACTACTACAACACCTTGATCTTTGACAAAATGTGATAAAAGGCTATGCAAATAAACTTGACTTGAAGAATTATAACAAAAATATCCTTACGCTTTTAATTTTAACTTTGATATTAATGTATTTATCATGGCTAGGCATGTTTTATAATAGCTGTATGGCCATACGGCATCAAACAGATGCTTAGTGTTTATCTATACTGTATGTACGGTATATCCATCCATCCATCCATCGACCCACCTAGCGACGCATACCCACCCACAGTACCTATCACTGTCGCTAATAAAAGCCAGTGCCTTGAAGTGAGGTGAAATACTTCTCAAGTGGAATAACAGACACAAATCTGAAAGTCCACTTGAAAAGTTTACAATTTGGCAGCAACAAAAGGAAAGCATGTATATAAGGATTTACTCTATTCTACCCAAAGAGAGCAAGTGACCAGGATACCATCAGGTCCTTGTCATTGACAGACGCCCAGTTTGCTGACAACTGACGAACGACGGGAGACAAAATAGATATAACAAGACGGGTGAAATACGGGTTCCCAGGCCACTGACGAATCACGGATTGACAACATTTTGTAAATGTCCCACCTGTGGTCATTTATATATCATCTAATGGCAATTACAATTATTTAAAAACTTTTTCCAAAGCCCATATTTCATGTCCAGCACATTAATAAGACAAAATGCATTTTATTTTATACTTATATTCATTCCCCGCGACCCTAGTGTGGATAAAGCAGTTCGGTAGATGAATGAATGAATACTTATATTCATTGATCTATGAATTGCCAATTGTGGTGACGTCACTCTCAGGAGAACATCAGTGATTGGACCCCCGGTTAGACTCTGCTCTTGTCATGTGCAAGTGTGCGTATCTACAGTATGTTCACACAAACAAATAAAGGAGCACAAACCATATGGCCAGAGGATGCGGCTTCTCATCCGGATCCTCCCAATCGTCTGATGAAAAAGGTTAAAACCAGAGTATTAATATCACCCGCTGCAGCAATTTTTCATGTGAAAGGACATCTCAGAGTAATCCACCCATCCATTTTCTAATCTTTTATCCTTAGAAGGGTTGCAGGCATGCTGGAGCGTATCCCAGCTGACTTTGAACAGTAGGTGTGGTTCGCCCTAAACTTGTTGCCAGCCAATCCCAGGGCACACATAGACATACAACTATTCACAATCCCACCGAAGGACAATTTCGAGTAAACAATTAACCTCCAATGCATGTTCTTGGAATGTGGGAGGAAACCAGATGACCTGGATTAAACCCAGGCAGGCAGATGGAGAACATGCTAACTCCACACAGGAAAGCCAAGGCTCGGAATCGAGCCCAGCACCTCTGCTCAGTGTAGTGGATGTGATAACCAGTCGACCACAGTGCTGCCCATCTAAGAGTCAGTATTTTTATAATATTGCTTCATATAAGACCAATATTTAGCCTTTACACATGATACGATATTTACCTGTTATATTGAATCCATGCTTGAATCCAAAAATCACCAATTCATGTGACACAGTGGTTTCCAAACTTTTGCGCGGCTTCCAAATTGTAACAGTGGGCGAAACATACATTAAATGCAACGTTTGTAGTGTTCAAAACACAGTTTTTGAAGAGTGTTCAAAGGGTGCACATACATTTGTCGTTGGCCACTTAATTCATTCACCATCTCGAATGAATATCAATTTTTAACTTGTTACAGAATAAAGTGCATTTGTGATCTTAGTGTAATTTGCTCACACCTGTACTCACTTGGTAAGCAAATCTGAATCACAGGTCTCTCCTATGTGAAGTATGCATGTTTTTACCGTGTTTGCATGGGTTTTCTCTGGGTACTCTAGCCTCCTCTCACAATCCCAAAACACGCATTAGGTGAAGTGAACACTCCCAATTGTGTAGAGGTGTGAATTAACGTGAGCCCACATGGTTGTTTTTCAATAGTTTACGTGCCCTGCAAAGTGGTGGCAACCAGCGCAGGATGTCCCCCCACCTCTAGCCCAATGTCAAATGGAATTACCTCCATTTTACCGGTTTTCTATATATATAT